TAAGTGTCCTAAATCAAGGTTCCTCCATGGTGATTTCCTTCCCTGAAAGATTCCTGGATGTTTACGAGAACTGGGGTACTGCCCTGATTACAGATGGAGATCAAGTCACTGCATTTGTCCTTAGTGCCCCGCTGGTTCTCCGCTCCTGTTAGGAATTCTCTGCATAGACAGTGTGTGTGTGTGTGTGTGTGTGTGTGTGTGTGTGTGTGTGTATAGAATCATCCAGATGTTCTGTTTGTAAATACTGGACTCTCATTGTCCCAGAAAGAATGGACGCAAGCAACATGGGACGCAGGACTCAGCCTCTGGAAGACAGAAATCGTAGTATAGGTGTGCCAACACCAAGAAGTCAGACATTACTTGTTTAACCACTCAACCATGTGATTGGTAGCATATTGTTATAAATATGAGCACAGAAGAAAGTCAGATAGCTCAGGGTTAGGGAGAGCGGGTTTAGTTAGTAAGATACTTGCCCATCACTTTGTTTTTTAGATACAGTCTTACTCTGTAACCCAGGCTGTCCTGGAACTTGCTTTGTAGACCAGGCTGGACTCAACTCACAGAGATCTGCCTACCTCTGCCTCCCAAGTGCTGGGATTAAAGGTGTGCACCACCACCGCCTGGCTCTGCTTGCTGTCGTGAATGAGGATACTGGAAAGTAGCCTTGCTGGCAGAGGCGGATTGACTGTGGGGAGTTTAGAACACTGCCTGTTCAGAGCCCAGGTACATTTTCTATTCAGCTGTGTGTAGCCTCCTGAAGAACCACCCCTAGTCCACCTCCGTAACTGATAGCCTTTGGGATGCAGCTTAACTAAACTCTACTCTCTGGCAATCAAGGTGCCAAGAACGCTATCATGCGGCATCTTGAGCAGCTGTTCTCAGCCTTCCTAATGCTGCAACCCTTTACCACGGTTCCTCATGCTGTGGGGACCCCAACCATAAAATGAAATTGTTACTTTATAGCTGTAATTTTACTACTGTTATGAACAGTAATGTTAACATCTGATATGCAGGATATCTGATATGTGGCCCCAAAGGGGTCTTGACCCACTGGTTGAGAACTGCTGACCAAGGGCCTGTAGCTGAGACTCCTCCAACTGGCTGGAAACCACCTCCCTGACGCTTCCACCAATACATTTTTCAAATGCCTGGGTTTATAATTTTCTTTGATCTTTCACTATAAAACTCCACAAAACTGCTTCCAGATTGGACCATGAGGCCTGGGGTAATCTAAATCCATGTTCCCAGGTCACAGTCACTCAAACTTGGCTCCAGAATGAACTATTTCTTACGCCTTTTGAAGTGAGAGCTGTTTTTACATGGACACTATGCAAGCATGACGAGCTAAATGTGGACTCCAGACCCGCGGAAAAGTCAGGGTGGCGAGATGGACCCGTGGGTAAATGATTGTTGTTTAAACCTGATGACCTGAGTTATATTCCCCAGAACCCACATAAATGTGGGGAAGATAGCTTACTCCACAAAGCTGTCTCCTGACTTACACACACACACACACACACACACACACACACACACACACACACACCTACCACTACTGTTACAGCTAAATTTTTTTCATCTTTCTTTTTATTTAATCCTCGTGTCTTTCACATCTTGTATCTCGACCCCATTCATTTCCCATCTCTGTGTATCCACCTTTGCAGCGCTCCCCACCCAATAAAATTTAAGAGAAAAAAGAAAAGAAAAAAAAGAGGGGAAAATCTCACCATGGAAGCTGCAGTGTGACACAGTGAGTGCCACAGGAAACCTTCTGTCCAGGTATCTTTCTCCATCTGTAGCTCCAGCGTGAGTGGAGCAGGACAGGCAGACCTCTGGAGGCCACTGGTGTAAGAAACATTAAATAGGAGTCTTTTCTAAGAAATGCTGTAAAACTTGTGTTTATGGTAAGGAATTAAATCTTTTCATCTCCCCCACCTTGTAAGACTTTTATGCAAATGTTTTAACGGCCTACCTCCTCAGTAAAACCTCTGTTTACACAAAGGTCCTACTGCATCCTGTGATTAAGTGGCTGACCTCTTCCCCTTCATTTCCTCTGGCCAGTTCCTTCAGGACTAGACAATCAAGTAAGACTGTGAGGTCGGACCCCAGCCAATGGGGGAAACACAGTTACCACCTGAGTTAGAATAAAAACCAGGTGCATTCAGTCTCTGAGTGTTGTGCTCTTTGGAGCACACTCTTGATCAGGAGCAAGTTCTGCCCCTCCAGTCACTTCCATTGGACTGGGGGTCTCTTTCTCTGTGACTCTCAACTTATTTCTAACCTTGGCCGGCCAGTCTAGCTGAATTAGTAAGTTCCAGATGAGACTCTGTCTCACAAAACTAAATGAAACAACAACAACAACAAAAATACCAAAGGGTTGAGAGGAACTGAAGAAGACACCTGATGTCAGACAATCTCTGACCTCTACACACACATGAGCATGCTCACCTGCATGTACACAAACACTCACATGCACACACACACACACACACACACACACACACACACGCACGCACACACTCTCGCACACAGCAAGGGGAAAACGAAAGGGCAAACAGAAGGTGAAGTGGCATTTCTGATCAGTTGGCAAAGGCACATCTGTACCAAGTGCCCCATGAGACCTCCCCTGTGTCCCTGAACTCTGCTTCATCTTGGATTCATCTGGTCCTGGCCACTCGCTTGCTCCTTTGCTCATGATGCTCAGGATGGCTCCTGGATGACCCCTGACTGTGAGACCCCTGCCATGGGTCTAGAGCCCAGTCACTGAGAGCCTCTCACAAGGTCATAGACCTATCCTGTGGGAGCAGCTTCACTCCAAAGTCTGGCCTAGAAGCCATGCAGAGTACAGCACAGCTCTAGGGACAAGGAATGGAAAAGTGGGCTCTCTGAAATGGCTACTGCTTGTTCCCAGAGGGCTTCCAGGAAAACTGTCAGGAAGGCACAGGGATGTACCTAGATGGAGTCCATGGAGTGAAGGGAGAGATCAAGGGCCCTATAAAATACCGGAGCAGGCATGTTTGATGGACTGCTAGCCTTAGGTTTCTGCCACCCAGCATGCATTCCTTTATTTTCCCCTCTCCTCCACTGTTACCAAGTGCCATTGGTAGCAGTGCTGTTGGCGTATTCTGTTATTTCCAGCCATTCAGTTCTTTATTCCTGCCGGGGAATGAACTCTGCAGTCCTCTGGACAGCTAACATCATCACCTACATTACACGGGGACGGGAACTATTCCAGTGGCTGTGAAATACAGACACGGTAGTGTTCTTAGACCAGATCACGGCCAACCACCAGGGCCAGCGAACCTACTGTGGCCTTGCTCCAGCAGTCTGTGCTCTTTGGCTGACTCCCACTTGGTCCGGACTGTCTTGTTTTCCTTCCCTTTCTTCCCTGGCTCATTCTTTTCCCCTTCATTCTTGTTCATCAGAGCTTAACCTGAGGCTCTGGCTTTTAGGGAACTTATTCTAGGAACTTGGGAGAATAGCAAGGCACCCAACAGGAGCACAGCTCTACCTTCATGGAGCACTGAACAGAAGGATGTCCCTAACTCTTGTGGAACGTTTGCTTTCCAGGTAATGGCCAGCTAGGAAAACAGAGACTGCATAAGTCAACTAGCCACATGTAGTGTGAGAAAATAGTGTGTCCTATGAACAACTAAAATAATTATTAGGGAACGGAATGCAGGAATGAAGAAAGGAGCTTTATAGAGGGTGGTCTAAAGAGACCTTGACATGGGCTGGTCTTTGTATTCAGGCCAGAAGAAAGTCAGGGTAAGCCGTGTGGACGCCTGTGTGCTCCATGCGTGGGAAGAGCACGTCCAGAGGGGAAAGCAGGGCCATGCTGGGATCCAGCCATGTATCATTGTGCCCAGCTTTTTTACATAGGTTCTTGGGGACGAGACTCAGGTCAACAGGCATAGATGGCAAGTACTTCATCCCCTGAGCCATCCCCTCATTGTGATTTTTCTTGAATATATATTCCGAGACACAAATGCCTGCATGTCTTTGGGCTGTATAACTAGAAGTAGCATTTTTTTTTGGTTATAAGAAAAGCAAATGCCAAGCCCAATGAAAGTTACTATTTTATAAGCCTATTAAAATATAATAGATATTTTAAAAAGGAAACTTGAATGGAGGTATCCTCTATGGACAGATAATGCTCCTTATAGAAGCCATGGGTTATTAAGTAAAAATATTAATGCCAGATATGGCTCCCTACAAGTTTTCAGCCAGGGAAGTCACAGAGTTCCCCCAAATAATTTGGCTATTGCCATTATTCTCAGTTGCTCACTGGAAATTGATGGTAAAGACCCCTGTTGCTGAAGACACTGAACACTTGGTCACATGACGAATCAAGCTGAGGCTTAGCTGGAACTTAGGTAGGCAGGGAAGACAGAACTGAGTGCTGGGAGAAGGAAAAAGCTGGAGAGACACCATGGAGCCACCAGAGACAGAGGCTGGGAATTTTACCCGGTAAGCCACTGCCACGTGGTGATATCCAGATTAATAGAAATGGGTTAAATTAATGTAAGAGTTATCCAATAAGAAGCTAGAGCTATTGGGTCAAGCAGTGTTTTAATTAATACAGTTTTGTGTGGTTATTTTGGGGCTAAGCTAGTTGAGCGGCTGTGACGAACAAGCAGGCCCTCCTCCTACATTTGGCCTTAATGTCCTCTATAATGTCCTCAAAGACTCTGGGAACATCACAGGAGAGAAGGTGTGTAGGGCCCATGGGTCTACCCCTGCTCCTGGGGTTCATTTTTAGAATAGTTTCTGGCCAGCCAGTGTTTCCTGTTTGTTCCTGCACTCCCTCGGACCCCCTGGTGATTAGATATAGGGCACTGTTGACTCCTTGGGCATGGTAATTTCCCACCTGCTTGGGGGGGGGTATTCCATTGTGCAGCAGCTAGGTATTTAAGGTTTTTCCTAAGACTGAATAAATGGCATTTGGCTGATCTCCTTTCGAATGACCCAGGTCTCTTGTGTGTTCTTTCAATCTCCAGGCCCTTGCCCGGCTCATGTACTATGGTACAATGACTCGAGAACTGTACAGAGAGAGTAACGCAGGTGCAGGCGTTACAAAGGTGGAAGGAGTGTAAGGGCCAGAAGATGGGGAGACGTGCAGCAAGTAGACATCTTCTGGACGTGACTCAGCTGCTGCCCTCATGAACTCAGTTCCTTTGTGGTTGTCCGCACAAGACCAACACAAGGTTGAGCCTTTCGACAACTCATCCCTGATAGAGCAGGGGCCCATGGGACTATTGGCTGTTCCTGGTCGCTGCAGCTGCAGTCATTTTCTTCAGTCGTGTAACCACAGATACACCGCCCGTGCGCCAATAAATAGCCTTCCACCTACACTCTGACATGAAACTTTAATTCAACCCAGTGGACTACAGACAAGAAGAAGTGCAGGTAGGTGGACAACCTCCTGAGAGGAAGGGTTCTGGTGGGAGTGGGAGGAGGATGAGATGGGGAACTGGGAGCAAAATGACTAAAATTCACTATGTAAATATATGAAATGAAATCAACAATAAAACATTTGAGAGGTGAAGCAAGTGTTCGGCTTTATCAGATGAGGCCCAGCAGTTTTTCAGAGTTGTGCTAATTTCTGCTTCCTTGGGCACAGGAGAATTCCTGTGACAGCATGGTGTTTATGGAAATGGTATTATTAGAATTTTCAAGTTTGCCTGTGCGGTGAGCATGTGAAGGTATTCTATTGAGGTTTGCGATTTGTGTTATTCTGTTTTGATAATGATGTATGCCTTATTATCTCAATACTAACTGTTAAGAGATATTAATAATGATAACACGAAGCTGGTTCTAAGATTTTAAAGATTGATAATAACTGGAAGAAAAAAAGGAGAGTGCTATTGAGGGGAGTAGAAATGAGCTGCCTTTTCATTTTACACTGGAAGAATAAATGGACGCTGCGCATAGCCCGAGTCTTGTATCACGGAAATGCAAATTAAGTCAAAAGGGCCTTGAAGGAGTTACAGGGATCCATGGCTCATAGCTTTGGAGACGATGGATGTGGTGTTACAGCATGGGTGTTGGTATTGCAATCTGTTTAGTGTGTATGTGTGTGTTCTCAAGCCTTCACGTGAATGCACGTTTCTTTGTGTCTGCGATCTGTGTTCTCATGCTTGCGTGCGAGCGCAGTCCTGTGTGTGCATTTGTTTGCTTGTGTCTTAAGGCCAGAGGTCAGTCTTGAGTGCCACTCCTCAAGACTAATCCACCTGATGTTTTGAGAGTATCTCTCAACGGCCTGGAGGTTGTCTAGTAGGCTAGGCTGGCTGGTCAGCGGGCCCCAGGGGTCCACGTATCTCTGCCTCTGTAGTTCTGGCATTACTGGGTACACCACCATGCTTAGCTTTTCCAAGTGGGTTCCAGGGATCAAACTCAGGTCACCAAGCTTGCATGGCAAACACTTTACTCGCTCAGCCGTCTCTCATTCCTGTTACAGCTGTTTTAATTCCTTAATCTTAGTACCATAGTTATGTGCAATTTCCCTCTTGGTTTGTGTGGATAGGTTGTCTCCATCACTTACCAGAGTGGGAACAATGAGCAGAGGGTTGGCAGTGAGTAGCTCCAGGTCCATAGGCACAAAGAGCTCCCTCCGAGGACTCCTGAGGGCTCCTCCTTTCCTTAGTGAACTCTACCAGCCCCACTTCTCTGCCCTAAAAACAGCATTCTAGGATAACAACAGGCTCTGGACTGACACTAGCTTCTTCTACTGTGTTTGTGAATATAATAAAATTTTCAAAGAAATTAGGAAAGAGTGGAAAATGAGCACATAGCTCAGTGTTATTGCTTGTTTGTCAACTATCCCCAACAGACCCATGGATTTAAACACTCGGTCTCCAGCTGGTGGAGCTGTTTGGGGAGAGTCAGGCCGGACTGGCATTGATGGACAGCTGAAGTTAGACCTTTGAGGGGATAGTCCCATCTTCTAGCTTCCAATCCTGTCTCTGCTATCTGATTGGCACTATGCTAGAAGGGATAACACACCTGTCACCATGGACTAACCTGTTCCCATGACCATAGCTTCTTCATCACCATGCAGGAGTGTGTCCCCTGAACTGTGAGCCAAAATGAACCCCATTCCTTAAGTTGCTGTTTTGGGGCATTTGGTCACAATGGAATGAAAGTAAAGGTCTAGGTGCCTAAGATGTCCATGAGGACATGGGAACTCTAAGTGATGGAGTTAGCAGGATGACTTAAGAGCTAGCATGACAAATGTTGTGCCCTTCAGGTTGAGAGTCATGCCTTTTCCAGTGCAGACAGGACATCTGCAAAAGCCTTTCTCTCACTAGGCAACAAAGAAGAAAAAACTTGCAGCGAAATTCCTCCAAATGAAATTACTCCAATTGCACAGGTCATTGCTTTGACCCAGGGCAGTGAAAATGGAGGTTAGCACCAGGAGAGAGGAAGAACCTCCCTCCGTATGAAAACTGCCACAACACACTCCAGCTATTTCTTAAATGACTGTTGAGTCAAAGAGAAAATTGGAAATGCAATGGCTAAATAACCAAAGAAACACAATGTGAAGACCCTGCATGTCAAGACATAGGAGGCATACCAGATTACAGTGAAGCAAATTCAGGCCGCTGTGTGGTTTGCAATTTTTAGTGGATATAAACAGAAACATTGTAATTCGGGGTAAAAAGCAGGATAGAGTGAAATTCAGAAAAGCAGGACAAATTAATATAAAAGGGACATATTAGTGAATTAAATTCCACAACAAAAAATAAGTACCAGAACAGGTCCTTTGGTCAACTCCAACAAATGAGATAAACTATTATTGTCTCCAGGGTGTTTCTTCAGGTTACAAATGATGGATGGCATTGCTGGCAGGATGACCCTGTGGGAGGACCCAGGGCTACGGTCACGAGACTCCAATCCTCAAACTTTCAAAACAAAACAACAACAGCAAAACCTCTTCCAGAACTCAAGGGAGTAGAGCGCCATTGACTCAGGGATAAACTGGGATTCACTATAATCTACCCTCAAGGCTAAGGGATCTACGCCAAAGAGGAGGCAGAAAGCTTGTAAAAGCCAGAGGGTGTGGACCACTTCAAGGAAACAGCGTCTTCCAGACACAGCAGGTCTGATGCACATATGAACTCACAGAGAATTGTTACAGCACACACAAGACCTGCACAGGTTTAAAGCAGACAAAATCCCAGAACTGAGAGAGGAAGTGAAGAGAAGCCCCACCTCTAACCAAGAAGCTACTTGCAATTGATATCTGCTGGGAGAGAAAATCTGTTTATTTGCCATGAAGTGACATTGAGTATATAAACCACACACTAGGGCAGCCCCCCCCACCCTCTCAGCTTGAGTAGTTGGCCAATACCCCATGTTTGTTTTTTTTTTCTTCCTCTGTATGTGTGTTTGCCTATGCTTGTTACTGTTTTATTTTGTTTTGTTATTTTCATTTTTGTCTTTTCTTTTGTTTTAGTTGGTCTGTTTTGATTTTCATTTGAAAAATTTTTCTTGTCTTTTTTTGAAATAGAATATGAAGTTTGCTGGGTAGGGAAATGGAAAGGATCTGGGAAAACTTAGGGAATGGGAAAGAATATAATCAAAATATATTTTATGAAAAATTTTGAGATAAAAATTTAAATATCATAATAGAAAAAAATCTGTAAACCTATGGGAATGACTAAGTAAAAATGACAAGTTTAATGTATGACAAACTGAAGCCCCCAAAGTATTGCCCCTTCATGGTGGAGGGAAAGGACAAAGCCCAGGGGACACATGAAGGGAGGTGGATGTGGGGATTTCCTTAGAAAGTTCTTGTAGGGAAGCTTGTTAAGACTCAGGATGTTACGAAGGAAGTGAAACAGTAGGCTGTGGGGAGGCAGCCGCTCTGCTTTTCAGGGAAACCGGAAGTAAACAACTTAAAAGCTTCAGAAATTCCTGGAAACTGACCAGATTCACTAGCCTTATGCCCCCCACCCTAGTATATAGCAACACTAAGGTCTTCTGAGAGACACCCTCAGACAAGATATGTGGAAGAAGCAGAGAACAGAGCCTCCTGGAAGTGGCAGAGGCAGCTGGACTACATGAAAAGGCTCAGACCGACCAGCTGAGCTCCCTGAAAAGGACACACTCCAGCCTGTTGAACTGCCCTTAGAATGTGCTGTCCACTCTAGGTTTCCAGAGTTTATGAGCTGTCACTCACAATGGGATGGGCTTTGGTGATGCTATTGTCTTTGAGTCATTTCTGCTCCTATAAGTGACTCCTCCTGTATTGTGGTTGTTTTGATGAGACTGTCCCCAGTAAGCGCTGGCATTTGAAATCTTAGTCCCCAGATGGTGGTGCTATTTTGGGGAAAACTTAGAAGGTGGGGCTTTGTTGAAGGAAATATGTCACTGGAGGCAGGCTTTGAGAGTGTAAAGACTTGTAATCTCATCATTTCTGCTTCCTGCTTGCAGTGCCAGATGTGAGCCCTCAACTTCTGGCTCTCATAGCTCTGACTATACATCACAATGATGGACTCTGCTTCTCTAAACCATCAGTCCAAATAAACTCTTCAAAGACTAAATTCCATGCGCATGGCATTTTATCACAACAATAGTAGACTAACTAGAGAGAAGTTGGTGCCAAGGAGTGGGTCATGGCTGTAACAGGCCTGACCATGTGCTTTTGGGGAGAAATGTGAAGACTTTGGACTAGAAAAATGATTGAAAGCTGTAATTCAAATAATAGCCCATTGTACAAGGGCCTTGGTGGTGCAGAGACAGCAGTGCCAAGAGCGGTGCAGACTGTGAAGGCCCAGCTCAAGAGCTTCTATAAGGGAGCAATATTAGCAATAGGACAGAGTCTGTTCCTGTGATATTTTGGCAAAAAAAAAAAAAATGTGATTGCTTTCTGCTCATGTCCTAAGAACTTTTCTGAGGCTAAATTTAAAAGTAATGGACTCAATTAGTTGACAGTGGGGATATCAAAACAGCCTAATACCGTGTTGTGAGGTTATATCAGTAAACATCCTTATGATGTAAATGGAAAAAAATGAAATAGAAGGAGGACGGCATGATGACTCCTAAAGTGTGGAGAAGATTTTTATTATAGATAGAAGGGAGAAAGCAGGCAGAGGGAAGAGTCCAGGCTGAACATGGGTGGCAGACTAAACCCGACCATGAGAGAAGAGAGGGGCAGGAAGAGCAAGAGAGGAGGTATAGACGTGGGCCGAGAGACCAAGAAACTAGTGTAACCAAAATGGCTGAGTGATACAGCATTCAGGCTGGGGAAGGGAAGGAGAAGCCCAGCTCCTGGAAGGGAAAGGTTTAGGGTAGGGTGGTGTGGGAGAATTATCTGTATTCTGTCAATCATGTTTTAAATAAATGCTGATTGGCCAGGCAGGAAGTATAGGTGGGTCAACCAGACAGGAAGTAAAGGAGGGGCG